AACACTAACAGTTGTTTTTTGTTTTTGAGTAATCAAGCAGCTCTTCAAAGACACATCAAACACATCCCTCAAAAGATGGCCTTTTTTCCCATGGATGATTTGTGCATGCTTACAGATTCTCACAGATTCTCACAGATTCTCACAGACACACACACACACACACACACACACACACACACACACACACACACACACCACACACACACACACACACACACACACACACACACACACACACACACACACACACACACATACATACACATACACCACTCCCCTGGGGCCCCCTGGTAGTCACACAGCTCCATAATATAACTTGCAAAAATGTAAGAATTTCATGCATCGGCCTACAGTGGGAAAATTGTGTAATCTGTTGGAATAGAGTAGAAATATCAAATATCACTACTAATACTATCTTCTAAATGAAATGCTGACATTACAAAATGCATGGTTTCATACTGCAATGGCAGTGAGATTAACGAATGTGGTCTGAATGGAAGTCAACGAGGCATTTTTGAGAGAAATTAAATAATTCAAATAATGAAACAGGCGTTTAAAGGGTTAAAATCCTGACAATGATTTAAAAAAAAAATATTGATGTATGATGGTTTAATAGCAGTTGTTTGGGGCGTGTACATTTTTTTCACAAAGGTGTCCAGAGGTAGTATCTGATACTACGTAAAAAATAATAATGCAGTCAAATACATTTTGTTGCTAATCTTTGACACATCCAAGACTCTAATAACCACCAAAGTTCCATCCCTCTACTAATTATTATATTGAAAAATAATTCATTTTTTGTGTTTTTTTTTAAGAGAAATTAAATAATTCAAATAATGAAACAGGCCTTTAAAGGGTTAAAATTCTGAAAAGGATTGAATGTTTGGTAGTTTTGAGCAAGTTAGAAGTTGTTCAAATGATTCATGGAAAAAAAAGTTAAAAGAAATATTGATGTATGATGATTTAATAGCAGTTTTTAAGGGCGTGTACATTTTTGCCACGAAGGGGTCCAGAGGGTGCAAAATGCATCACGAGAGTATACACAACATGTAAGAGTAAATGACATTGGATTTTAAAAAATTGACTCAAAAGAAGACTCCTTGCAAAAATCCATTCCAAAAGCTGTAACACAGCTGAAATTATCACCAAATCAACAAAAAAAAGTCAAGAAAAATGTACAAAAATGCCCGAGGAGGGGTAAAAGTAGCATTACTAAATTGTAAAAATACTCAAGTTACAAGTAAAAGTCCTCCATTGAAAATCGTAATCAGGTAAAAGCTCAAAAGTAGTGGCATCAAAATATACCTAAGTACCAAATGTGGCTCATTTCATAATAGACATTACATTACTGGATTATGAGTATGCATTAATGGTAATTATTATTTACTTTATATACTGCTGCAAGATATCTTAACTTAAAATTATATTTAATTGTTATTGAATTATTATGATTTTTTTGGTATTTAGCTAATCTAAATCTAAAAAGTAAAAATAAACTAAAAGCTGTCAAAGAAATGTAGTGGATTATATAATGCTTTAATTAATATACTGTATTGGCTTCTCAAATGTAGTTGAGTGGAAGTATAAAGTACCATAATATGAAAAAACTCAGGTAGAGTAAAAGTACCTTAAAATTGTACATACATTTCCACCACTGCATTATGTATATATATTTTAGATATGACGAAATGGGTGTTACCTGAGAGGCAAAATTCAGGGCGAAAAAAGTAATCTCCCGCGCATGCTCAGTAGAGGCGGAACTGTTCAGTGTAGCGGTGAATGGGTACAGCTCAATTTACCTCGTAGTATCTCACACTGACATGAACTGTCAACGTTAGCTGCGGTGTATTTGTTCACGCGGACCAGGCAGTGTAGAAATAGTATTCGTGTGTTCCGTCACGGTAGTTTAAAAAGTAAGAGAAATGGTAAGAGACTGATTCTCTTCCGCTTAAAAAGGGGCAGGAGCTACGTGCTAAGCTAAAGCTAGCAAGGTGTATGATTACAGGAAGTGTCCACCTTCGCTACCTTCACCTGGCTTCTGTCAGGATAGCCTGCGAGCTAACAGACCGTATATCAGCATAAGGTGGGAAATAATCTTGTATTTCTAACACTCTGTGGCGCTTTATTCAGCGCATGGCCCTTGAAATGTTAGCTGTATCCTATTGACATTGAGTAATGTTGAATGAGCCTTGAATATGATTTTCTATCTGTATAATTGGCGAGTTTCCTTGTCGCAGGTAACGACTTTAGGCCCAGGTGTTAGTCGGTGTCATGGAGGTGACAGTGAGACGACTGTCAAACAGCCGCCTTCTTCTAACCAGTTAAATACACAGCAATGGATATGACAGTAGATGACAATGCATTGTAGCTATTTATTTGTTAAGTAAATTGTCATATCAACTATTAAATAACTGTTAAATGTATTAGTAAACAACATTTCCAAAAATATGTGTCCCAACTAGTATATGTAAATGGCCGCTAATGCTTTTTGGTTTAATGACAACTGTTGCTGGCAAATACACTCAGATGTTGGTACCTAATAACAAGATATATTATGATTATTGTTTGACTATGTTAAGCTGTATATATGTAATTTAGCTCGGCTATACATGTTTTTCTTTACAGCAAAGATATATCACTGTTTACAATATCAATGTTTTACAAAATATAAGCTCTGGGTTCTGTTTTTTCGTTGTTAAAAGAAGACACAATATAAGACCGGCATTGTTGAAAGCGGTAATGTTTAAATGCATAATTCAGTCATTTTTGTTAAATATTCCAACATTGTTGGACCAGAATTAGCAGTTTGTCATTATTGCCAAAAGGGTTGAACCGTCAAGTTGTAAATAATATGCAGTATAAACACCAATGTCTCCTTTGCACTAAAACACATAGTCCATGTTGGAATAGCTCTTAAGACTATATTTAGATATATTCCATCCAAGCATCCTGCGCCTATAAAACAAACAGGAACCACACCTCCCACATAGTCTCTTTTGTCATATAGACCCTAAAGAGGTTTTGCATACGCATGTAATTAAAGATAAATAGTAGTTGGTGCAGTAGATCTATGCTCTATGATCTTGTGAGTCGTATGTGTTGATATTCATTGTTGCATAGACTATTTGCCTGTGAATAAATGCACCTGACAGTAGGCTAGGATCCGTTCATATGGGTGTATGCTGTATTTCTTTTTCTTTGTGGAGGAAATATCACACCAAACTCTATGTAGAAATCTGTTTATTTAAGAGGCTTTATTGGGTCTTCCCTTTTCTGAAGTGTGTCATTATAGGTTTGTATGCATGTAAATGGTCTGCAACGGCTAAAATCCCTACGTCCCCCTTGCCTGAAACGCCTCCATTGGACTCCTTTTTCTTTTCCGTAGTAAAGTGAAATCACTGTCAAACACTCAGACTTCTATTGGCTAGCACTCCAACATCACAAAAGAGCCGACCAGCTAACCAATCAGAGCAGACTGGGCTCTGGTTTCAGACAGAGGGTGAAAAGAGGTGCTGCAGCACAGGCAGTATGAGAAAAATAGAGAGCTTTTGAACATTAAAGCATGGAGACATGTCACAGTAGAAACACAGAATATAAGTTTGAACCTGAAAATGAGCAGAATGTCATCTTTATAAGAGAGATTAACCAATAATTGGTCAAGTAAAACGTCTCAATATCCCCTGTTAATAAAGTTGTAAAGTAAGTTGCCTTCGTACATATTCAGCAGACACAGAGAAGCATTATCATCCCAATGCAAGTCTATTAACTGGCAACATGTAGGTTCTAATTGTGTCTCCCTTAACTCCTGAGAAATATTTCTGGCTCTTAAGACGCTAAATGTACCACTAAGCCAACAGTGTGTGTCTGTTTTAAGACTTGTGGAGGGGTAAATGGGTAACCATGGGCTCTAACATAAAACAGTGAGCGTATGTTCAGCCTACTAATCAGTCCTGTGCAACTGCAGACTTTAAACTTCCATCAGATCTGTTCAGAATGAAAAGAGAAATATAATAAAATGATGAATTAAAGCACAACTTGCTGCAACTGTACTGATTTGGTCAAAACTAAATTGTCAGTAATCAGAAGAAATGTATATTATTAATAGTTTCAAAGATGGTTGAAGGAGTTTGATATGATATTCTATATTGTGGAATGTTTTTATCAGGTGTGAAATGTACTAAGATCAAATATAATGATGTACATTTAAAATAGAACTTGGAAATAAATAGAATTTACTCTCAAACCTTCGGAGTAAACTTGATGGAGTGGAAGTGGTTGGAAATAATTAGTGAATTGTAACTATATTAGTGTTAAAGAGAGGAGGTAGGAGCAGCAGAGTGGTGATTATGACATGACTCGACTTGTTTCTGTATTTAGCACTGTCATGTGATGACAACAAACAAACAAAAACGTTTTCATAATTTCTTTTCAGAAATGTTAGAAATTCCTTTTTCCCCCAATAATACTGATGACTTTTTGTCATTTAATGGCAGATACCTCATGGAACATACTGTATATCAACCCCCCTCTGCTGAATGCATCCTGCCTCTTTTCCCTTGTTCTGAAAGTCTCCCTCTCTCTCTCTGTGTGTAGATGCGTTTCATGCTGCTGTTCAGCCGGCAGGGGAAGCTGCGGCTGCAGAAGTGGTACACTGCCACAGCGGAGCGCGACAAGAAGAAGATGGTCAGGGAGCTCATGCAGATAGTGCTCGCCCGCAAACCAAAAATGTGCAGTTTTCTAGAATGGAGGGACCTCAAGATTGTCTATAAAAGGTACTAATCAAAAACTGTCAAAAGGTTTCTCCTGTTTCTGCCCGGCAACTGGAAGAGTCTTACATAAGTGCTCATGGCAGTGATTTCTTTAATGAGTTACTGTATTTCATATGGTTCTCTTTTTACTCAAATTTTACTTTCTTGTTCTCATTATTTACCGAGTGTAAACATTAGTAATATTAGAAGTAATTTGAGTAAAAGTAGGAATACTAAATTGTAATGACACTGTAACATGTACATGTCCTGCATTTCAAATCGAAATAAAAGTATATATAATGACATGAAAATATACTTTACATAATTGAAGTAAAAGTACTTATTGTGCGTCATTTAAGAATTGCATTTAGGAAATTATTAGATTCTGACTATTTGTGCATTATTGTGTTTATAGAAGCTGGTAAAGATGGAGCTAATTTGAATTACTCTATTTACTGATGCTGGAAATATTAACCTATAATTAATATATCAAAGTTGATTTATTAGTTTAGTTATAATTTGTATTGAATAGTATTATAATCTGTAACTAAAGCTGTCGGGTAAATGTAGTGGTTAAAAATAACTTTATTAGTGTGATGGAAACCTCTGGAGCAATGGAGACTGGGAGAGACACGAGGAGAGCAGGAGCTTTGATGACAAACACTGAGGGTTTATTTGGAGCTCCGGCCGGAAAGTTCACAAGACGTGTGCTGTGCCACGAGGTGACACAGCTGCTGCCAAACCAATTCTGAAGAACTCTACCCCAGACCCGTGTGTTTGGCTGGTTCTGAGAGAAGAATCAACATTGTGCATAACAAGATAGAATCATGACACCTCTATCAGCTGACGCCAGCAGGCAGGAGCAGGGAGACAACACACTGAGAGCACTGCAGCCAAGGTCGCAGGCTAACTGGGTCAAAGGTGTGGGCCTAGGAACATATTTCCCCAACAATTAGTTTTATAACATGTAGTGTAATAGAGTAGCATCAAAAGAAAATGGTCACATAAAGTAGAAATGCTTAAGTGCAGTACTTAAGGATTCCCTCCTCCTGAGACAAAAGCAAAGAGTTGACTTTTAATGTTTGGCCAACTAAATTAATGTTCATTGTTCAAACAAAGCATACCATTGTTAATTTAAAATAACCTGTATTAGCTTTGGCTTTTAGGCTGAGCATATAATGATAATACAAATGAATAAACAATTAAATGCACAAACAATTTGTATTAAATATCCAATGATTTTATTCATTATAAGCAAGAGAACCAAATATATAGAATATCTAAAGTTATATTGTATAATAACTCATATTACAAGTTTCATTAAGAAGATGGATTACATAAAAACATATTTAGTTGGTAAACAGTTTTTCAGTATTTGAACCAGCCGGCGGAGCGAGCAGAAATCCAGATTGTTTAGCCTGTTATCAGCTAGGACACACAGACAATAATTATTATGCATTCGGTTAACTGTTGCATTCCCGTGTTCCTTGTAATCAAGTATAGCAAATCACTGTACATGTATTTGTACTGCACAAAATGTATTAAAGTAAAATGTTGCACTACAGTGACAGCAGGAACAGATGATGATGATAGCGATAGCGTATTGATTTGCATTTCATTACTAGGGCTGCAGCTCATTATCTTCCTCATTATCCCAGGGGCATGTGAATGCACCAATAGCCTTGGAGGAGCCCCATTGTACTTATCATTATTAATCGAGCAACATTTTAACGTCAAGCATATCTTTTAGTTTCTTTACTTTGATATCAGGGATGAGTTCCATTGTATTAGTAACAAGTCTGGATGTGTCTTAAAGGAAGCAGCAAGTTTGACTGCGTCGTCTTTTTACTTCAGCTCCCCTCCCACAGACCAACAAGTGTGTTTCTATGTGGGCTAAGCAGCATTAGATTTGAGGTGGGTGGAAAGGGTGAGACCCAGCATTCCTCTCTCACAGCTCTTTCTGCACGCACACACACTCTGTGACATCAGTGTGTGTCAGGGCTCATTACTGTGCGAGCAGAATGCAGAGGTGGACTACCAAACGAAGAAGCCTGTGTGTGCGTGGGCGGGAGATGAGAGGAGCACACAGGGATTTCCTGCAGTGGAGTTGAAATGAGGGAACACTGCACTCACAATACAAGCTCTGTTGTATCAGAAACCCCCTGTTAACTCTTTCTGTGCATGCCTGGTGTTTTGAATACATGAAATATGTCCATCTGGCCTTCTCTGTTGAGTGTGTAGTAAATGCAAACATCAGTTAAGATGAACCTTATTAATTCGGTTGGAACATTCAGTTTTTGGCACATCTCCACCTCCCATTTCTTTTTGGGTCCAATCGGGACTTGAACCGGCAACCCTTCAGTTCCCAAGTCCCTACAGATGGAGCTGTGTCTGTGCGTGAGCAGATCGGCCGTTTGCCTAGCTTCAACAAACACTCCAGTATTCATTCAACGGAAACAGATAGGCAAATATCTTAATGTACTTCTTCACACAAAATGCCTGAAATGCCATCGTTTCTTGTCCTCAAATGTGACAATAAGCTCTTACTTTTTAAGGAATGAAATGTTATTAGGTCTGTTGGTTGGATAACACAATCATGAATAATGATCTGATCGCTCCAAGCTGCTGCGGTTTGTTTGTTTGTTGTGTGAGAGCAAAACAGACACATGTTTTAACGACCGTGGATATGTGACGTCTGGAAGAATTCAAATGGTTTCCATAAGGGCTGCACAGTTCATTGAAATATGTGTTAGAATACCATTTTGAATGAAGTGCTGCAGAAATATCCCAGCTTACACCAAATATCACACCATTCCATTTATTTATATTTTTCGATGATAATGAAGATTTCAAAATGGATTACTGGAATCTGTCGGAAATAGTTGCAACTCGTATTTTTCCCTGAATCTTCCAGCCTGACTGTTTATATGCATCTTTGTGTGTGTGTATTCTTGCAGGTACGCTAGCCTTTATTTCTGTTGTGCAATTGAAGAGCAGGACAATGAGCTGATCACACTGGAAGTCATCCACCGCTTCGTAGAGCTTCTGGATAAGTACTTTGGCAGCGTGAGTCACATGTGTCCTCCTGCTCTGTGTAGTTGATTTGACTGTGCTAAGGTTGCAGAAGTTGTACCTCCTAACACAATGTGAATGTGTATTTCCCTGCTGTACATAGCATTGATGGTCTGTGTGTGTTTGTGCAGGTGTGTGAGCTCGACATCATCTTTAACTTTGAGAAGGCATACTTCATTCTAGATGAGTTCCTGATGGGAGGAGAGATCCAGGATACGTCTAAGAAGAGCGTCCTCAAAGCTATCGAACAGGCCGACCTACTGCAGGAGGTAACTACCAATCCACCACCTCTACCATGGAGGGTTGGGGTTTCAGTGCTGCTTCTGTACAAGGCTATCACTCAAATCGAACACATCAATGACATTCGGTTGGAATGTTGGTGGTATTTCATTGAAATTCTGTTGATATTAGCGTTTGCTGTCTTTATTTCAGGCTAGGAGTCCACCATATTATGCTGAAGGAAGCCCTGGCAACAAAAGTGACATTATTTATCATATTTAGGGAAAAAATGTAAACAAGATTATGAATCTGAACAGACCTTATGCTTTCACTGCATGGCTGTTTTTAGGCTCTAATAAAAAAATGACCAAGGTTCAACACCCTGCCATGTGTAGTCAATAGCCAGCTTTAAATTCATAATGCTTATTTTACTTTCCCTATTTCCAAGTGTTTCGAAGTTGCATATTCCCAAAGTGTTTGACAAAGTTGTGACTGTAGTGACTCATTTGTTTTAGAAATGGCAGCCCCATGAACAGTTAATGTGCATATTTGTTTGTTATTTTAAATAGTTCTTGAGTCCACAATTCTACCGCCTGTTTCCCTCCATAGGAGGACGAGTCACCCAGAAGTGTGTTGGAGGAGATGGGCTTGGCGTAGTACACAGCGGAGTTGTGAGAGACTACAGATACTAAGGCTGAGGGCTGGATGAGAAGTGGGGGGGAGGGGATCAATCTTGGATGGAACAGGCTTGGACTGACGGTGTTTGGGTCTATGGTTCTGGGGCCGACGTGCGGTGTTTCACTGGAAGAGACTCGGTTAAGAACGGAAGACATTTTCACTGACAGGCCTTTCAGCTGTGTGTGTGTGTGTGTGTGTGTGTGTGTGTGTGTGTGTGTGTGTGTGTGTGTGTGTGTGTGTGTGTGTGTGTGTGTGTGTGTGTGTGTGTGTGTGTGTGTGTGTGTGTGTGTGTGTGTGTGTGTGTGTGTGTGATCTGAGCGTGGGCTTGAGGACATGGGATTTTAACTTGTGTGTGGCAGCAGGGGGGGTTATGTGGTCAGATTTGAAAGGGCTGAGATTGAGTCCACCTTATCAGAGAGTTAGAATAAGAATCTGCAATCGATACTGTCGTTAAATCGCAGTGAGGCAGCTCCAATGAAAAAAGAAGTAAACAGGGGTAAAACACAATAAGTGAGCGTCACTTAAATGATCATTCTGATGGTATTTTTATATATTTTGTATTTTCAACTACTCATGAA